AGTGCTTGTTCCTCCTTGTCGTTTGGTTCTTTATATATTCCAATGTTTTATTAGCTCCCTCTCCGCAACCAGGAACTAACTCATTTGCATGATTTGTAGGCTGTAGGCGTGAATGATACACACTAATGGCTGTGTACTCAGCGCTCGCATTACTTAGCGATTAGTTCGAAAAGCAGCAACTTTCCAGTTTGACGGCCGTTTTCACATAAACTGTTAAAAACACTAAATATGAATCAGAATGGAATGACAATGAAGGAGTGTTACAACTCGTATTGGCATTGGAGCTGCAGAGGAAATAATATGCGGGTTGCGAAGTTTTACGAACGTCGTGTGACATGAACAGCTAAAATTAGCTACTGAAAAAGAACTTCACACCCCAGTTTCACTGCTTTCTCATCCCCTGTACCACTTGTCAGCCCGCCCATCAGTGATTCCTCCGAGCGACGGATCTCCTTTTGTCCCCGTCGCGAGCTAGAGCAGTTGTGTGAATCGTCCTTTTTCGGGGACACACATAGACACGTGGCATAGTATTTCATTTATTTCCAGCTTTTTGAATGTATCGGAATTCGCGCTGGCTGTCGCCTTAAGGGTTGTAATGCCATGACCCCATCCCTGATCTTCGCCAGTTGACAGGGCACAGAACTCCAGATTCCCCCTGCATTTGCATTTGAGTGCATCAAGAAATTCCGTACACCGTTCTCCCAAAACACGTTGAATGACGCCGTATCATGCTCATCCGGCTTTCATAGCGTTCAAGTCTCACAGGCGCCGAGTAGATCAGCGCAGTGCCAGATCTCCCTTGTTTTCTTCACTACCTCTTCAATGTTCTCAAATTTTCCGCGAATTGCGCGTTTTATTTCGCTAAGCTCCGGATAGGTAGTTCTTCATGTTGATTTCTCGACCTAGACACGCACAGCTTTGGCATGTTGGGATAAAGTTTTCGTTTGCAGATGCAGCACTGGGAACCAATTTGTTCCTGATGAACATCGTCTTCTTAGATTAAATCGTAAGCCAATCCACCCTTAAACATTATGGAGTCCGGGCAGCAGTCGTTCTGCCTGCTCGATGTTCGTTGTTATAAGCACGATGCCGTCTGCGAAGCGGAGCTAATGTATGTAGCGGGCTCCCATTCCGGGCGACGCATAATTTTATCGATAGCGGGATTGAAACGTTTAGATGTGGTAGTATTTAACGAACCCAGATTATCTTCTCTGCTTCCTAAACGAGGTGTACTCGTACCGAAGTTACATTATCTAGGTCCTCAGAAACAGGAGTTGTCATTTACGGTCGAACGTCACTCACACAACGACAACTGCATACACAAATACACACGAACAATCACAGCTACAGAGCAGCAGACACTAATATCGCCTTATATTCAGTGAAGTGATAACTTTGAAATCATGCCTATCGCTAGTAAAAACTACTGAACCATTAGAGAGATGAATGGAAGAAAGGTGCGCATAATAGTCCTATCGAAAATTCTCAAGGTCATTGAATCAATCATTCTAACATCATTGCCCTCTTTCACAGTCAACTTCTTTGAAAGAAGTAAAATTCAGATACGTTCTTTAGGCCAAAAATGAAATATGTTTTTCACAGCTTCGAGAATGGAAATACAGTATTACACTATTTGTGGGCAAGAGATTCTGGGCAAGAGATAATAGCAACACTCTTGCTGTGAAGTGAAATCGATGTCATCGTTTCGAATCTCCTTTAATGGGGGTAGCCTATGAAATTTCCTAGAGTTGCAAAGGTCACAAGTGATCTTCTTGAGGTAGTATTACAACTGATGCTTGAAACTACTGAACTGTTCCTTTACTGTAAAGTATTTACAGTTTTACGACTGGAGAACAGCTATTTCACAGCGTTATTCATAAGCTCTTTCTCGAATGGAAAGTGGGGTGGTCACATTTATCAACCCTATGACATCATGAAAGAACTTAACATCTCCTACATCCAAATCTTCATTATCTCTGAAAGGAGTAATGGTCACGCTTTTGTTTTAGAAGACTGCGTTCTACCCATTTCGCGTCCTAAGCTGGTTTGCACAACTGATATTTGACTGGGTTGTATACAAGGGAAACGAAGCTATTTCGAAAACTCATTCAAGGCAGAGTGTTCAATATAGAAACAAAGATTTATCAAAAATGTGCAATCAATGGGTCTTGTGATTAATGAATCAGTGAGAAATGTTTGTTAGCAGAAGAGCAAAAAATGCGAAATCTCTGCAAACTCTCATACTTAATATAAGAAATGTCTAATATTTGTTTCAGTCAGCTTTAAGTGCCCAGGGATCCGATCTGCAATACTGCGCAAGAAAAGCAAGTGAAATTCTCTTGGAACATCTGCGTGCAGGTTCATTTTTTTCTTGGAATGATGAGCGAGCCCCCTCCTTTTCCCGCAGCATTCTTTTCAGGCAAAATGAAAAACAATGCAGCAGAAGTACTAGAAAAGTTTATGTAAAGTTCAATGCAGTTTCACATTTTGAACACAACTGTATGATACGAGTATGTTTCGCTATTCAGGGCAACCTCATCCACTTCCATTTCTGCGACAAAGGCTACCTCAACAGGGCCTTCAACTACAGATGAGCCGACTACCACAACAGAAACTACTGCATCAGCTACGTCGACTACCTCGACAAAAGTTCCTACTACGTTCGCGACGACCTACGACTTCGAATTTCCGGGAACATCCACAACATTCCCGGGAACATCCGCATATGATGACCACGGATTTACACCTGTTAAGGAATCATTTAGCACCGGCAAAACAGAGGTGAGCATCGATGTCAAGTGAGATTGCCTTTAATCCTCATGACTAGCATCTTCACGAAGTAATAGGTGATCTCATTTATGGGTGCGCATGGTTTGGAGGCATAGTGGCAGAAATAAAAATGCGGTACGGATACCCAGCGCATACAGTGGCTTGCTCGCTCCACTTTCTTTTTATTGAGTCCATGCTTTTGTGGAATCAATTGTGTATTTATGAAGAAAGAATCACCAGATATGAAGACAGATGCGCGGTCGCATTATGTATAGGTATATAGTAAGGATGATCAGGGAGGGTTCGCAATTCACAACATAACATCGCAGTGTTCCAAAACGAAACTAGACGTCGGCTATCATTTGCCTGTCCTCCCATTTAACTCTTCGCTCTTTCTTCGTAGAAAGAAGCAGAAGATTTTCACTGCCTATGAAGTAAGAACTGCTCTATCGCCTTTATGTGCCCAGTTCTGCAGGCCGCTGAATCACTCTCGAAGTAGAGGTACAGGCGTTAAGTAATACCGTAATAACATCCGGTTGGGTATGTCGCTTGTGGATGAACGGAAGCGCAAGAAAAGGCCATAAAAATACGAGAGTGATAAACGAGAAGAGAAGTTAGTGTGGGAAAAACAAAGCATTTATCAATAACAAGCAACTTGACGAAGAAATTAAGGGATTATGATGAAAAGCTTTTGGATATGGTACACGTAGCTACCCTTGACCCGGACCTCTCAAAAAATTCATGTGTCACGATTATCCCTCTTTGACACGACCGAAACTTTTCTGATCATACATGAGGTTTATCGATTTGGGGGGCCCAGGGTCAATCATTTCCAACGAGTTAATTACTGAGTACGCAAATTCGCTGGGAACCCTGCTGTTTTGGATGTAGGATTTTAGAAGAATTCCTCCNCATAAAAATACGAGAGTGATAAACGAGAAGAGAAGTTAGTGTGGGACAAACAAAGCATTTATCAATAACAAGCAACTTGACGAAGAAATTAAGGGATTATGATGAAAAGCTTCTGGATATGGTACACGTAGCTACTCTTGACCCAGACCTCTCAAAAAATTCATGTGTCACGATTATCCCTCTTTGACACGACCGAAACTTTTCTGATCATACATAGGGCTTATCGATTTGGGGAGCCCAGGGTCAATCATTTCCAACGAGTTATTTACTGAGTACGCAAATTCGCTAGGCACCCTGCTGTTTTGGATGTAGGATTCCTCCGATTGATGAGCCAATACCATCGCTACCATTGGCAGTGCAGAATGTTGTTGTGGACACACCAACTATAGGTTGTCGGAAGAATCGCATCATCAAGGTAGATTGGTCGGAATAGTTTTCGGCGCGATATCATCATTACACAGCAATTTATACAATCAAGCAGTGGTCAGTCGAAAAGGTCCAGATGCGTTGCCGTTGCAGTTACATATGCCGTGCCTAGATAGGAATTGATAAGTGTGTTGGGTGTGGGGGTAGTCTCAACGACACACACTGTGAGTTGGCATACATACCGTACAATCACACCAGGCCTATAGGGAAGTTTTGATTTCCTGTAGTCTCTGAAACAAGTCACGTCGTTGTGCTTGCTTGCGTTGCGATAACCATGATTGCAAATAAGTTGCCTTCTTCTTCTTCCTTCCTCTTCTCCTTCTTCTTCACACGCCCCAGTTTTGTCACCTACCATACAAGTATTCTCGTCCTGCCGCCTACTGTGCTTCCAACAATCTCTACCGCTCTAAGTTTAGGGGGAAAGGAATTATGAATTTCTGGTCAAAAACACACACCGACAAACCACCACACTTAGCTCGTTATATACAGTGGGATACGATTATGCTCGATAGCAGTAATCAGGTACTACCGGGATATAAAACGCCACAGGCATTTTAATTATATTGTGTATTTGGCGAGAGGTACATATTAAGAAAAAGAACTGATTAAGAATACGGAAAACAATGAAGCTGAAAAGTTAAGGGAGAATTCTCCATGCTTTTTGCTCTTTATGCTGTATCTGTTGATATGAGACAGTAAAAAGGCGTTTGTATATCCTAATAGTAGGTTACTGAGATGTTTTCTTTAACTCCTCAAGAGGTTCGCATCAAGCTTTATTAGGCTGATACTTCAACGGAACTAATAAAGCTGTAAGAACTACTAATAGTTTAACCTAAATAGCTAACTTCAGCTCCTAATAGTTGGAACTTTTGAGAGGAAAAATGATCTATTTGTAGGCTGGCGAGCCGCAGCTAATGGATTCATTTCTTGGACAGTACGGGTAAGTTCATGGGTTATACTCGGGTTTGGACGAAATGGTATCCATGAACTCTCTTCAACGAAACTTTTCTAAATGAGTTGAGGAGTTAATGCGAAAGGCAAAAATGAAGCATTTGTCTTGGCAACTTTCGCCACTCTTCTATTGTACTCATGATTTGGTGGGAAAGATCAGGAGATAGGCAGGGCTAGGGACCCTTCAGCCTGTACCATTGATTTTTACAGTCATTAATGCCAAAGTTGACACACAGACGATTTCAGTGACTCATATGAATGACTTTATATTCCTTTCACACAATGTCTTTTCAGTCTTGCAATCCCAGCAGCTTTTGCTATCTCTCTTATTGTTATAATCGCAATTATTGCAGTTATGTTGAGAAAAGGCCAGAGAAACAAGGTAATCAGTCACATTGATCCCAGTGGCACTTAATTACCGTACTTTAGCGGAAGGGAGATTTTTTATAGCATGTGAAAGGAGCGGTTGGAAAAGGAGGGACAAGCAAGTTAAAAGGATCCCAAGAAACGTCAAATGAAGGGTCACGGGAAAGCAAAACAAAGGAGGGTGGTTCGAAAGAAAAGAAGACGCTTTCGAAAGAATAAAACATTGAATTCCACCGTAAATTCCTCATCTTCGAACGAATCCGGATCGTGACAACATTAATAAAGATTGAGTTTCAGTCGTTTTTTTTT